GGCCACGGGGCAACGCGATGAAACCTCACACGCCGCGGAAAATAATGTAGAAGAAACTCAACCGGGACCCAGTAGAATTCGCCAGAATCATGATCCCTATAGTACTGTTAACGAACAACTACTAGCGCGAATAGAAGAGCTACGGGATATATACGCATGCAGCACGAGTAACTGACACTCATCGAAGTGATCCACAAAATGTGAGGAACGCCAATATAGAAACAGAGAGATTCCGTTCAAATGAACGAGGACTAGGTCGCAATGACCATTACACAGACGGGATACCCCCGATTAATGAGGAATGATCCCGACGCATCAGGGAAGCGCGCAATCAGATTCCTATTTTTAATGGCACGCAGGACAACAAGTTAATAGAATTTTTAACGGCGTGCGAATATGCTTTTGAATTGATTCATCCTGCTGACGAATCCGTATTAATCCGAGCAATAATCTGCACCAAACTAAAAGGCATTGCTTTAACCGAGGTTAGAAATCAAGACATTCAATCTTTTGTTGCTTTAAAAGACATATTAGAAACATGTTTCATGAAGAAAAAATCAATAACTCGATTACTTCGAGATTTTAATAATCTGCGTCAGAAACTCGGAGAAGACGCACGAACCTTCGGAAATCGTGTAGAAAAATTAACTACAAACCTATTCGAAGCTGGAACAGAGGAAAACTCTATTCCTCCTCGCAGAAACTCGGCATACATTTTTTCTTAAAATCGTTAGCCCTTATCAACTATCAATTAGGATTAAACGACAGACTGCAGACAATAGTCCGGTCCCGCGCACCCGCGACTTTAACGGAAGCAATAGCAGGAGCAGTAGAAGAAGAGAGAATCAGAGGAACACACGAAGTTCCCACACGGACTTATGAGCCAAACCGGTATAACCGAAGCTCTTTCGCAAACCCTAAACGAGATGCTCCTATAATACAATGCCAAAAATGCGGAAAGTTGGGACATCAGGGATGCGAATGCCGTAACAGCCGATATGGCAACCGATTCGTTCTACCAAAACCTGAAGCGCCGAATCGAATAAACTCCACAAATAAGCATTGCTCACATTGCAAAAAGAACGGGCACACTCGCGATGACTGTTAATACTTACAGAGGAAACCTACCGAGACATAGGACACCGTGAGCGACCGTCGTAAATACTCGCGCGCAATGGCTATCACCGCGCTAGATACCGATAAAACACTGACAGCTCGAAGAAACGGGAGCACCAAAAGCAATAACGATCAGGAAGGAAGATACAAAAAAGAACAAGATCGTGTGCGCGACTATCGCATAAATCAAATCAGGCGATTTGCATTGTCACGCCGGATTTGACCTAGTAATTTTGTCAATCAAGGAGGCCAAACAAAAGAAAATACAATTTCTCATTGACACGAGATTCGCCGTTAGCTTAATAAAAATACGCACATTAGACGATGATACCCCTATAACTGCGGAAAAATTGACCTTAACGGGTTCACTTGACATAAAGCCTATACTATAGGAAAAATAACCGCCACAGCCAGCTTAGGAAAACAGCAGCGGAAATTTGAACTATTCATGGTACAAGACGATTTTCCCATCAAATATGAGGAAATCTTAGGGATAGACTTCCTCCGCGAACACCGTGCTAAATTTGACTATCAGATAAAACGATGACAATTTCCGGACGAAGTCTACCGCTAATACCATATCAAACATACAACCTTCCCGCGCGTAGCGAAGTAATAATACGCGCCGCGGTGAGCTCAAACCTGGCGGCAATAATCCCAGCCGGAGAAATTGCATAGGAAATTTTTATTGGGAATTGCCTAGTAAAATCTGTCAATTATACGAGTCTTGCAACAATAATTAATATTACCGACAGCACCACTGTCGAGAACCACACTATACGTAATATTAGAAAACACTCCGGAATACGACACGACGGAGACAAACTTATTAATCAGAGGACAAAACAATGAAATCTCGTTAGCACGAACAGAAGTATTGGATCAGCAACTACGGCTAGAGCATCTAAATAAAGAAGAAGAAAAAATAATGCGCAAAATTTGCGAAAATTACAATGATATATTCTTCCTCGAAGGAAACAGCCTTACTCACATTGCGGTCGTAAAGCATCAGATTACCACGTGAAGTGACGCCGCGCCGGTAAACGTGCGACTTTATCGCTTACCAGAGCAACATAAAAAAGAGGTAGACAAACAAATATGAGAAATGCTCTATAACAAAATAATACGAGCCAGTAGTAGTCAATGGAATGCACCATTATTAACCTAAGAAAACGGATGCATCAGGGAAAACAAAATTACGAATCGTAGTTGATTTCCGAAAATTAAACGATCTAACTATTGAGGATTCCTTCCCTCTATCTAATATTAGCGACATCCTAAATCAATTAGGAAACGCGAAATATTTTTCTACACTGGACCTTGCGTCCGGATAACATCAAATTCAAATGGCAGAAAAAGATAAGTGTAAAACAGCTTTTTCAACACGCACGGGGCATTACGAGTTCAATAGAATGCTTTTCGGATTAAAAAATGCGCCAGCCACTTTCCAAAGACTTATGAATACTGTTCTAACTGGATTACAAGGGCTATAATGTTTAGTATACCTGGACAACATAGTTAAATATAGAAATAGCCTAGAAGATCATAATAAAAAACTTGTCTGTGTATTACAACAAATACGGTAATATAACTTAAAATTGCAACCAAACAAATATGAATTCCTTAGGAAGGAAGTAATCTACCTAGGACATATAATTTCGGAAAAAGGAATCCTACCGGATTCGAAAAAGATAAAAGCTATAACAAATTTTCCGAGACCCAAAAAAACTAAAGACATTCAATCATTTATAGGGCTTGCAGTATATTACCGCAGATTCATTAAAAATTTTTCAAAAATAACACGACCTTTAACCAAACTGACAAAAAAGGACGAAAAATTTGAATGGAACAGGGAACAACAAATGGCATTTGATAAATTAAAAGAAAAACTGACCACCACACCGGTATTAATATACCCGGATTTTGAAAAAGAATTCGTGGTCACACCGCAATGCAATTGGAGCTATATTATCGCAAGGTCGAATAGGAGCAGACAACTCGATAGCCTACACGAGCCGCGTATTATCACGCGCGGAACAAAACTACAACACAACCGAGAAAGAGTTATTAGCGATGGTTTGGGTCGTAAAACACTTCAGACATTACATCTACGGAACCAAATTTAAAATCGTAACGGAACACAAACCACTAGTTTGGCTATTCAACGTTACAGACCCCGGATCCAGACTAATAAGATGGAGACTAAAACTAGAAGAATATGATTACGAGACAGTTCACAAATCAGGGAAAACAAACGTTAACGTTGACGCGTTAAGCAGATACCCTCCGGTATCAATAATACAAGCAAATGCTCCACATAAGACAGACGAGATAAACGAAACGGAAGAAGAAGAAGAGGAAGAAGACGAAGAAGATACAGACAGACATGATATACAAAGCTATACCGAAGAAGAAAAAAGACAGATCTTATATGAGTACCATAACGCACCATTAGGAGGGCATCAAGGTGTACAACGTACATTGTACAAACAGACTACGCTTAAAACATAACTGGAAAGGGATAACACGAGATGTGACACAATACATAAGAAAATGTGAGTTATGCCAGAAAAGTAAGCTAAGTCTTCAGAAGAAACCACCAATGTAGATTAACAATTGAAGACATTATATTACAAGCGCGAGGCATCGTAAGAAGCGTCTCGATACAAACACACATATCGGAATACAATATAACATTAGAACAGGAATATATAAACACAATAAAAAGTAAAAACAAAATACTACAGGTAAAACCAAATAAAATAATACAAAATCCATCCAAATTAGCGGAACTAAGCAATAAGCTAACACGAACATACCAATATTTAGAAAATAGCTCAAACTTTTTAACACACTACAAAAACATAATATATACTACAGCGCCGAACGGAATAACCGTGGTGATAGTAATCATAATTGCAGTAATCATAATAAAGAAAATAAAAAGGAAAAAATCCCTCCGGTCGTAATAGAACGTAACACCAGACGAAACGTAAGAACACGTTCCAATCCTGCACTAGCACGCAGATATAGTTTACATGTATAATTATAAGGCACACGATTGTAATCATATTTGTACACGGGAAATAAAATTGTAACAAGCGAAAAATGTAAAAATAAGACACGATTATAACCAACATTGTAAAACGGGAAAAATTGTGTAAAAGCGAAAAATGGTCGTCACTCAAAAAAGATGAAAACGTCGTTCCAAACCCTCCGTTTTCTTTGACCATGGGGGAGAGATGTTATAACCGTGAATATTATTTTTAGCGTTGCCAAAGCGTTTCATGAGAAACTGCTTTGACAGCGCTAACAATGTTATGGTTATGCAAATGCTGCGCTAAGCATCACTTTGTCATATATCGGATTTGGGCCACGTCAGCACTAAATTTGGCAACTCCCTAGTTGCCAAAACATTCCCGCCGATAAAACGGTTAAATAATATAAAAAGAATAGAGAAGAGCGCAAAAGAAGGATTCTCCTCTGGTCTCTCGCCAATGATGTACGTGGCCGTAATATGCATTACTATTAGAGTTTGGGAGCTCAGTAAATATACAAGTATTAAGTGTAATAAAGAATCGTTTATATCTAACATCACAACTACAAATTTGTGCACCCTTCCGCACCCGTCACACTGATTCTGGATAATACCCTTGTGCCTCTCACGAAGGGCACAACATGATCTTCAAATGACTATTCAAGGTCTAATCAATTACACCTTTTTATAGATCCCTTCGAACCAAACAACTTTTATCTGAAACAGTTTTGAGATATTCGACCGTTTTCAGACTTTTTTAACACCCCGTATAAGCATGTATGCATAATGCAACAATATACAATGTAACGATAATGTGATTTTTAATTCTGCGTTGTTCTATTTTCAGGGTGACAGTGGTGGTCCCCTACAAAAAATTCTTGAGGAACCTTATTGCATGTACAACATCGTAGGCGTGACGAGTTTTGGCAAGTTCTGTGCTTTTAAATCTATGCCTGCGGTATATACCAGAGTTAGTTCTTACCTCGACTGGATTGAGAATATTGTTTGGCCATAAAAACCTGACTTTCAGAGATATTGAATTTGTATCGATATTTAGTATTAACTTCTACATCTGGTTTTAAACTGTAGCGCTTTTAACAATAAACTATCCGCTAATATTAACATATCAATCGTTGAGACATGTTAAAATCAGAAACATGCACGCAATTTACAGATGGAAGGTGTTTACAATTGAATTAAATAATAATCAAATTTGATACATGGATGATAAAATTAATACATAATAATAAAAACAATATAACTTATAAATTAATCCATGAAAGGCTCTTCTGATATCCATTCAATGTACAAAGAATCTTTAACTACTTCGCTTGCAGAGAAAATCGGTATCAACCGATCCAAAAATGGCAAGATCTAAATGCTGTTTGATTTTTATAAAAATCAGTACTAAATACTTTTCGAGTCGCTGAATACGAATTTGAGATCAAAATTTTAAAGTTCAAATTAATGTCAGATTCAAAATCAGCTCCCCTAAAATCTTTCAAGTACCGAATCCCTTCCAAATCAAGTTACTTTTCGCATTTTGGTCCGCTATATTAAATCCGCCATCATGAATTTCGAAATTTTAAGTTAAGATTCGAAATCAGTGACCCTAAAAACTCCTGAGTACCGAGTTTCATCCAAATCAAGTCATTTTTCCATTTGGCTCTCTACATTGGATCTGCCACCTTGAATTTGACATAAATAATCTCAGATTCGAAAGTAGCGATCCCAAAAACTCCCAAATATCAGGTTTCATCATAATCAAGTCACTTTTCTCATTTTGATCCGCCATATTGAATCCATTTTAAATTTTCAAATTTAGAATTCAGATTCGAAATCAGTGACGTCAACCCCTGGATACTAAGTTTCATCAAAATCTTGCTAACGAAAAAAAAATAAAAACTAATGTGCGCATTAGTGCGACAATGTCATTTTTGGTACATTCTTTATTTGACGCAAAAGTACGTCAATACCAGTCAAGTGGTAAAGAATCTATATACGGATCTCGTAGTACAATATAATCAAACGAAATAAGTTTATATATAATTTCTCTTAACTCTTTGCTGACAACGTGAAGTTGCGGAACAAATCTAGCAACGTAAAGTCAAATTTGATCTCATGCTTTATTTTTTCATTTTTCATCTAATTAATGTATAAAATGGGTAACAGAAATAAATAATAATATAAAATTTCTTCCTCTGTTTATTTATAGATTTATTTAAAGAATTATGCTAAATTTATTAACTAAATGTAATAAAAACAAAATGTCCTTTCAGTAATTGTCTTTAAATATAACAAATAAATTGCTTCAGTATTACATGTCATTATTAAATTATAATTAATATAATTATAAATAAATATAATAATAAATATAAATATAATCTTAAAAATTTTATAACAAAAACGTTACAATTATTTGAACTAAGCTTAGTTGTAAAAAAATTAATAAAAGACATTACTCATAAAAGAAAAATAAGTTTTAAGCTTACTCTTTCAAAATAATAAATAAATACTAAGTATTATTATTATATATTTAGAGTAGTAATAATATTTAAAAATAATGCAATCAAAGTGACCAAAACTATAACGTTAACAGCAACGTGGGGTCTGATCTGACTCCGGAATGCGAGGAGCTTTAACATAAACAAGAATTAGCGAGACAATCACGGTAATTATGCATAATAATGGCGACCTTATAGATTTCAATCACCTTGACATATGTTGCGAAGGTCACCCTCTTGAGTAACGTGCAAAAAGTTTTAACCGTCGCTCATTGTTTGTTAAAAAGTTATTAACAAAAGAAGTTGCATAAAATGAGTGTAATTTTTAGACACCGTACATAAGAAAATATCGAATTTGTAGGCTAGAAAGGTGTCTGCTACTGCCCTAGGTACATTCAAAAGGTTTCAACTGGCGCTCATTGTTTATTAAAAAGTTATTCTCAAAAGAAAATACATTAATATCAACACAGAGTATATTAAGTGTAGTATGTAAACGGTGTCTGTCCCCAGCTGTGTAACTGATCAGTTCACCGCACTGTAGCAGGGGGGAGGGCAAGTCTGTTGTACTTAAGCTAAGAAGTGAGAATTTCTCACAAAAGACTCGGTGCGAGGGATATAGGGGGCGTAGCTCCTCAGTTACACGGCTAGAGACAGGCACCTTTTTTATTTTTATTATTTTTTACTTATAAAACTTTAAATATAATAGGAACACACGCACACACCGCGAGCCCGCCCGAGCAGCGTGTGTGTGTATGTGTGCATGCGTACGCGCATGTGTGTGTGTATAGCAGGTCTTGCTACCTTACAAATTCGGTGTTTTTGTATATACGGTATCCTAAAATTACTTTCATTTTATGCAACTTTGTTAATAACTTTTTAACAAACAATAGCTAAAACCTTCTCAAGGTTACTCAGGAGGATGACCTCGACAACATATATATGATTAAATCTATGAGGTTGCCATTATTATGCATAATTACCATAAAATTAATCAGATATTGTTTAATATTATTAATATGTCAAAAATAAGTTTTAAGTTAGTAAAGTGGTCGTAATCCTCTCCATCTATTAAGTTCCCAGCAAACAGTTTGGTACCAAATTGTCGCCAAATTAACACCAAATATGACCAAAACTTGACGGCAAATTCGATCCTATCCGCAATATGCTTGGGTTTTGTTAGCAAAGCTTGGTGACAAAATCTGACGCCAAATTGTCGTCAAATACCGAGCAAAGTTTGGCGCCAAACTGCGCTGCACAAACCTTGGTCGGCATTTGGCGTCAATTTTGCGTTAGATTTCACCAAGCTTTGTTCGGTATTTGGCATCAATTTGAGGTTAAACTGTGTCGTACAAACTTTGCTCGGTATTTGGCGCCAATTTGCCAACAACCTTTGATTTAGCAGATGTTGTGTCCAATTTGATGACATTTTGGCAGCAAAATTTGTAGTCAAGTGTTGAGCAAAATTTGCTCGAGCAGATTTGGCTATCTGGGTTATCCCAGAAGTTTTTTTCATAATTTCATAATTTCATATAATAGAAACCATTAATAAGAATTATTAGAAGCTATTATAAGTTGTCAGACTATATTGACCTTACATGAAATTTATACTTACTAGCTATTGTTCTTGATTTTATACTATATTGTAACCGCGATTCGTTGCGGGTGTGAATCGCTTGTCGGATCGGGTTCGTGATAGGCGGAATAATTGAGAAACAGTGTGTTAAGAAAATAATAATGAATAATATATTTAAAATACTAAACTGATGATAATGACAATATATATATCGAACAATACGTGTCGACGCCTTTGGCTTTGGTTGTTTGTATCGCCTGACAGAGGTTTGTTTAGACGCGGATTTGGTGATGTGACGCGCGGTGCGCGGGGCGCGGACGACGTCAGTGTCGCGTCTTCGCGAGTCTATGCTGTTGACGTTTCTTTCGGCGTCGTGTCTCTTAAGTGCGGTGGACACTTTGTCCAGCGATGTTTAGCGGCGTTTCGGAATCATATAATGTTCGCGTGCGTTGAGA